TCAGTTTGCTAGTTTTTGTTGAGTATTTTTGCATCTATATTTATAAGGGATATTGGTCTCTAATTCTTTATTTTTGTGGTGTCCTTGGCTTTGGTATCAGAGTAATGCTGGCTTTATAAAATGAGTTAGGATTCTTTTTTTTTGGAAGAGTTTAAGAAGGACTGGTGCTAATTTTTCTTTCAATGTTTGGTAGAATTCACTAATGAAGTTATCTGGTCCTGTACTTTTTCTCTTTGGGGAGGATTTTGATTACTATTTCATTTTCTTCTGTTGTTGCAGATCTGTTGTTATTTTCTATTTTTCTTGGGTCAATTTTGGTAATGTGTATGTTTCTAGGAATTTGTCCATCACTTGTGTTATCTGATTTGTTGGCCTATAATTAGTGTATTCTCTTATGATCTTTATTTTTGTAAGATTGGTAGTAATGTCCCCACCTTTTTTTTTTTGGCAACTGGCTGGTATGGGGATTTTCATTTTTCATTTTAGTTATTAGTGTCTTCTCCCTTTTTTTCTTACTCTGACTAAGGGTTTGCTAATTTTGCTGATCTTTTAAAAGAATCATTTTTTGCTTTTATTGATTATTGTTCTGTTCTCTATTTCATTTATCTCCACTCTTTATTGTTTTCTTTCTGCTGCTAAATTTGGGTTTAATTCTTTTTCTAGTTTTTAAGGTGTAAAGTTAAAGTATTGATTTGAGATCTTTCTTCTTTTTTAACGTAGACTGTTAACAGCTCTAAATTTCCCTCTGAGCACTGCTTTCACTACATCACATAAGTTTTGGTATGTTGTGTTTTTTGTTTCATTTCTCTCAAAGTATTATCTAATTTCTCTAGTGATTGCTTCTTTGATCCATTGGTTAAGAGTATGTTGTTTAATTTCCACAAACTTGTGAAGTTTTCAGTTTTCCTTTATTTATTGATTTCTGGGTTCTTTCCATTGTGATCAGAGAAGATACTTTGTATGATTTCAGTCTTTTTAAATTTATTAAGATTTTGTTCTATGTCCTAACATATGGTCTGTCCTGGAGAATGTTTCATGTACACTTGAGAAAAATGTGTATGCTGTTGTTGAATGGAGTATTCTTTATATGTCTGTGAGGTCTAGTTGGTTTATAGTGTTGTTCAAATCCTGTATATCCTTATTAATCTTTCTTTTTTTTTTTTTTTGGTGGTTGGCAGGTACAGGGATCCAAACCTGTGAGGAGCTTGGCATTGCCAGCACCATGCTCTCCCAATATTTTGTCTACATGTGTTATCCATATTTAAAGCAGGGTATTGAAACCTCCAACTATTATTGTAGTACTGTCTATTCCTCTCTTCGGTTCTATAAATATTCCCTCCATATATTTTGGGGCTCTGTTGTTTGGTGCATATGTTTATAATAGTTACATCTTCATTGGGAAGTGAGCCTTTTCTCAATATATAATGACCTTCATTGTCTTTTGTAACAATTTTTGACTTCAAGTCAATTTTCTCTGGTAGTAGTATGGCCATCTTTGTGCTCTTTTGGTCACTATTTGCATGAAATATCTTTTTCCATCCTTTCACTTTTAACCTTTTGTATCTCATATCACTCTAAAATGAGTCTTTTGCAGACAGCATATAGTTGGATCATGTATTTTGTTCATTCTGCCACTCTCAGTCTTTTAATTAGTGAGTTTAATCCAGTTACATTTAAAGTGATTACTGATAAGGAAGGAAGGACGTATGACATTTCACTATTTGTTTTCTGTGTATCTTTTGTCTTTTTTGGTTTCACAATTTTTCCACCAGTAACTTTTTTGCGTTGATTTTTTTCCCTAGTGTACTGTTTTCATGCTTTCTTCATTTTCTTTTCTATATATATTTGAATTATTTTTTTATTTCCCCATGGTTGCCATGGGGATTACAGTTATAAATTTTTTTTTTTCCTTTTTGTCTTTTTTCGTGACCGGTAACGGGATTGCAACCCTCGGTGTCACGCCCGTACCGCGACCGGCAACGGGATCGCAACCCTCAGTGTTGCGCCCACACCGCACTCAACCAGTGAGCGGACCAGTCTCTATATGGGATCCGAACCCTTGGCGGGAGCGCCGCCGCACTCCCAAGCGCCGCACTCCCAAGCGCCGCACTCTACTGAGTGTGCCACCGGGCCGGCCCTACAGTTATACATTTTTAACAATCTAGTTTGAATTGATCCCAGCTTAGATTCAACAATATACAAAAACTCCTCTTATACAGCTCTGTACCCCCTCATTATGTTGTTATTGTAACAAATTGCATGTTTATACATTTTGTGCCCACTAACATAGATTTATAATTATTGTTTTATGCATTTATTTATTAAGTCATATAGAAAAAAAAGAGAAGTTAAAAATCAAAAATATATTAATACTAGCTTTCATATTTATCTTTGTAGTTACGTTTACTGGAGTCCTTATTTCTTCAGATGACTTCCAGTTACCATCTAGTGTCTTTTCATGTCAGCCTAAAGCATTCCTTTTAGGGCATGTATACTCTCAGTGAACATCTGAGCTTTTGTTTATCTGGGAATATCTTAATTTATACTTCTTTTTTTTTTTTTTTTTTTGAGGTGGGGAGCTGGCCAGTACGGGATCAAATCCCTTGACCTTGGTGTTGTAACACCACACTATAACCAACTGAACTTACCGGCCAGCCCTTCTCCCTCATTTTTGACGAATAGTTTTGCAGGATATAGAATTTGTGGTTGATAGTTGGTTTTTTTCCTTTCAGTACCTTAAATATGTCATCTCACTGCCTTCTGTCTGGTCTGCAGCTTAGCTGGTAGATGCTGGCTCAAGGTCCCTCACAAGTTTGCAGTCAAACTAGTTGGCCAGGGCTGCAGTCATCTCAAGGCTCAACTGGAGCTGGATAATAATCACTTTTGAGCTGAGTCACTTGGTTGTTGACAGGCTTCACTTCTTCCCTGGCTGTTGGCAGGAGGTTCAGTTCCTCACCACTTGGGCCTCTCCATAGTGCTGCTCAAAACATGGCAGCTGGCTTCCCCCAGAGCAAGAGGAGATCCATGAGAGAAAGACATCCCCTCCCCCAAAGTTTTGATTATTTTATTTATTTATTTGGATGCTCTTTGGTATTCTTTATCTAACACTGAGATAATTGTACTCTTCTTGCATAAGACAGGGAAATTTGGACCATGGCGATCCCTTTGTGGAGAGGGATTGATTTTCTCTTCCCTAGAGGCGTTGCTACTAAGTGCTTACTCAGCCTAAGAAATGGGAGTGAGAGATTCCAAGGAGCTTCACACAGCCTTGGAATGGAGCAGCAAACCCTTATAGTTGACCTTCTCCTCTCCCTTCTCCCTTATACTTCTGTCCTTCCACATTCAAAGAGCCATGAAAATAAGCATCTAGGACCTTTAAAATGTCACTATAAACTACTTTCCCATTGGTGGTTTGTTTTATGGAGGAAATGTGTCCTTTTTGGTTAAAAACTGTGTTTGAGAGAGAGAGAGAGAGAGAAGGGGGGTGCGGGTGGGAGATGAGTGATTCTCCTGGTAGGTCATATTTCTCAGTCAAAAGATCAGTTAGCTCTTTGCTGTAGACTTGCTCTGCATGAGGTACAAAGAGGTGTAAAGGGATGTGTACAACAATTCCCACTTATGAGTAGCTTCTATTATAGAGAGGGAAATATGGCAGGATGCAAGCAGAAAAAAAAAAGTGCAAGGCAGCATGGTGCCCCACAGTAGTAGTTGCCACAGTATTGATGAGTCAGATGCTTATGCTTTCCTAATGTAATAATGTGAAAAACAGAAGGAAAATGTAGAAATGGCCAAGAGAGAAAGTGAAAGATCTTTGTGCTTGTGTTAGTTTTTCAGATCTACTAAAATATTGTACAGCATAATGATTTTTGAGAACTTTGGTTGTCCTGTTTATAGGACATCAAGTTTTTCACTTGGTTCCTGCCCATCAATAATCAGGCAGTTTCATTCTCATTTATTTAATTACTTGTTGCCATATGAAAAGACTACTATACCCACATTTTTTTAAATTTTGAAAAAGTTAATTAGGCTTGTGTTTTATATCCAGTTTTATATCCACTGTTCTAAAAGCACTTTAATATTTACAAAGGGCTTTATAAAGTGAATTAGGCATTGAGTCATGGTAAGAATAGTAATGCAAGCCCAGGCTACCAATATGCTAGCTACCGTTTGCTTGAAGACAGTAACGCAGCTGATATTCCTTCTCTGAGTGAGTGCTTCTGGAAGAAGGGGTTGGGAGTAATCAGGATGTCAACCTCTTGCAAGATGGCCCTTCCTTGGCAATTACATCTCTCCTCTAATAAATGTTATAGGCAGATTTTAAATATCCTAAGTAAGGGTAGTTCTGCAGTATCTCTTAGATTATGATTGGAATTGTTCTGAAATGGAAGTGTATGTATATAAGATGCTTTCAACATCATTCAGATCTTAAGTATGCTGTGGACTTGAGCTTGACCTGTGTATAACAACAGTGGGCTTGGTTCTGGGAAACTATCCCCCCCATCCTAAAATACATTGAAATCAGAGATAGAGTCTGTATTTTATTTTTATATGAGGGGGTTGGGGGGACGGGAGGTGGTGGAGAGGAACGGGTAAAGGGGTGTGAAAATCAAGTACAATGTATTTTGAGAAGTAAAATAAAATAAAATAAAATTAGAAAAAAAAAGTTTATAGATTCATATTATCTTTTAATTCTTTTTTTTTCCACAAACTTTTTGAAGTACTTTCTTGCATAGGAATTAAACCAAGGATTTATATTTTTGTATAATTTAGGGTGTTGTGCTTACAGATTCATATTTTCTGTAGTTATGTAATTTAATAACTTCAACTGGGGCTTTACATTCCTCCCCCCAGTGAAATCTACTATATTAATTTCTTTGTTAATATGTTCCAAATATGAATATATTCTTCTGTTTCTTGTTGGCTACAGTTAAACTGCTATTTGTTTTCCTTCTTTTAATAAAAAATGAATTCTCAATTTTTATTTAATTTTTCTCTCCTAGACAGTTAAATCTCACACAGAAACAGATGAGAAACAAACAGAGAGCCGTACCATCACCCCACCTGCTGTACCCAAACCAAAACGGGAAGAGAATCCTCAGGTAGGCTCACCTCTCCAAAGTCATGGCTCAGTCTATGTGCAGTTTATTCTCACATACTAGGAGGGATACCTGCTCTCTGAATCACTTGATGTTCCTTCTCTTGTGCCTCCTTATTATTTAACAATGTTTTTGCCAAGTCAGGCAGGTCTAGGGCAGATTTCTTAATAGTGTGGTCCTGGGGGTCCATGGTCTGGCACATAGGCATTTCAGGTGTTTTTTTTTTTTCCCTTTTTGTCTTTTTTCGTGTCCGGCAACGGATCGCAATCCTCAGTGTCGCGCCCGTACCGGACCGGACCGGCAAGGGATCGCAACCCTCGGTGTTGCTCCCGCACCTCGCTCAGCCAGTGAGCGGGAACCGGTCTGTATGTGGGATCCGAACCCTCGGCGGGAGCGTCGCCGCACTTCCCAAGCGGTGCACTGTAGCAGTGCGCCACCGGGCCGGCCCCCATTTCAGGTGTTTTAAAGGAAACGTTTTGAAAAGATGTTGTTCATGTACATGTTACAAATTTGAAATGTAAGATCTGTGATAATTTTCTCAGCTCTCCCATTACGTTCTAATGATTATTATGTTACCTTTGTCTTAACCAACATTTATAAGATGTCCAGTTCATTCAGCTAATGTCTATAAAACTCAAAATTCTAAGTGCTCCAAAATTTGAAACTTTTCGGGTGCCTACCTGATGCTCAAAGGAGAAATGCTCATTAGAACATTTTGGATTTTGGGTTTTCATATTAGGGGATGCTCAACCAGTAAGAATAATGCAAATATTCCTAAATCCAAAATTTGAAACACTTCTGGTCCCAAGCATTTTGGATGCTCAACCTGTGTGGATTATAGTTGTTAAATGTGCATTTTTGTTATTACCATTGTATTGTATTAGAACCCCAGGTCCCAAATGAATTAGAAGCTCAAAAGTAGTTTATAGAAGTATAAAAGCAGAGTTGAAAATAGTAACATCTATACTACAACTTAGAATAGAATTATAAACATAAGTAGCAAACGTGATCCTGGTACAAATACAGAATGTGAATCTGTATGTCCTTAGACAAGACAATTTTTAAATTTGATTCTTATGCACAAGCAGCTATAAAAGAAAAACATAGACAGTTAATATGATGATGAATATCTGATAGTTGAATTTTATTAGATCAGTAATCTATTTTTCCCTATCCTTAGTGCTTTCTTTGTAATGAAACCATGTCAAATAGTGGCTTGAAGCCATCAAAGCTTCATGTCATTTTTTTAAAAAAGCAATGATTTATTGAGCCAGTCCAGGTTTTTCTAAAACATGTATGAAATAAATTAATTTTTAATTGTATCTTTAGAGAAGTGCCTAAAACTTGAGCCAAAAAGAAGTACTGGTCACACAAATTGCTGAGAAATTTGTAAAATCATCCACAGAATTAGTGACAAGTATTATGCTTACAGGAGGAAAAATAGAGAACACTATTAGCAAAATTTTCTTATCAAGAGAAACTGAAAGATGTCTTATGTCAGTGGCACACATGGTGGGCAAGCAAGTACCATCATGGGTAGTAGCAGATATTTCACCTTCTAGTTGGACAGAATCACTGCCATAGAGTAAATAGCTCTTGGCATACATGGGGTATATATATATATGAGACAAAAGTTTATGAAATTTTTTTATTCTGCCTATCATTGAAAATCTGTTCCTTGACAAGAGAGGAAGGTTTTTTTTGTATTTAACAATTATTTTGTGAGTTTGATCTGGACTGGGAAAGACAAGTTGGATGTGAGTGGCCAAGAAGGTGCTGTTGTTTGATTAGAAGAGGATGCATCTGAATGTCAGTCCATACACGGCTTTACTAACACAGCGCAGTTGGTGGACAGCCTTCTGATCTTGATTATATTTTGAGGGAATAATGAAAATTAGGAATGTTGTGGTTCATTGGCAACCACAAAATGTATGCCATTTCAACATGCAGTGTAAAAAAAATGGGCAGCAAGTCTAAGATTACTTTTTCTTATCAAAGTACCCTGGCTGGGGCCGGCCCGGTGGCGCACTGCTACAGGGCGCCACTTGGGAGCACGGTGGCGCTCCCGCCGAGGGTTCAGATCCCACATATAGACCGGCCGCTCGCTGGCTGAGCGAGGTACGGGCGCAGCACCGAGGGTTGCGATCCCGTTGCTGGTCCCGGTCCGGTACGGGCGCGA